TGTTTTCTGTCTCACGCACACACAGGGGGTGTGTGTGTGTGTGTGTGTGTGTGTGTGTGTGTGTGTGTGTGTGTGTGTGTGTGTGTGTGTGTGTGTGTGTGTGTGTGTTTGCGTGTGTTTCAGTGTTGTGGCAAATGGAGACGTCCTGAACCCAGCGGTGAGGTTGCTGATTCCCAGCCGTGTGATTAGCCAGTTTGAGCGGATTCTGGAGATGGTCACGGAGAAAATGGGCCTGCGAATCATTGGGGGTGTGCGGAGGTACGCAAGCACAAGAAATGAATGTAGTTATTTGCTTAATGAAATTGAAGTGAAATTAATTCACATTTGTGCTCAAAGCATTTTCTTAAATCCAGAAAAAAAAGTATTTGTATGCTGGCAGTTGCTCATTAAAATCAGACTGTACCCAGTTGAAAAATCCAGCATATGCTGGTTAGGTATGTTTTGAAGCATGGTTGCTGGTTTGAGCTGGTTTAAACTGGTTCTTAGCTGGTCATGAGCTGGTTTATGAAAATTAAGCATGGTTTTATTGTAGTCAAAGTGTAATAACCATGTTTTTTTGGCTTATTGATTACCATTTGTACAACCATAGTTTTACTACAAATACCATGGTTAAACTATGGTTAGTGTAGCACAACCATGGTTAATTTGTGGTTACCATGGTTTAACTATAGTAACCATAGTTCGCCTTCAGGAACTCGAGCTGCATCGAAACGCTATGGGAACGCCTTCAGAGTGACCACGCTCTGAATCACGTGTGTAATCAGTTCAATGGATGGGTGAAACGTTACAGGCGGGGTGACGTAGCGACCTCTTGAGGAAGAAGGCCATCGAGGTGGTCCCTCCTCACGACAGAGAGTCCGGGTTCTACAGCCGGTACTTCATAGTTCCGAATAAGGATGGGAGGTTGTGTCCAATTCTAAATCTGTGTCAGTTGAACCGCTCAGTCATGCGACTGAAGTTCAGGATGCTCACAATCAAACAAGTCGTGTCTCAGATCAGGTCCGAGGACTGGTTTGTCGTTATAGATCTAAAGGACTTCCATATCTCCATTCTTCCTCAACACAGGAAGTTCCTGAGGTTTGCTTTTGGGGGCAAAGCTTACCAATATCGGGTTCTTCCGTTTGGCCTTGCACTCTCACCCCGCACTTTCACGAAGTGTTTGTATGCTGCTCTGGCTCCTCTGCGAGTCCAGGGCATCCGCATACTGAACTATATCGATGATTGTTTGATATTAGCTCAATCAGAGCAGATGGCGGTTCGGCATCGAGATGTCGTTCTCGCTCACATGAAAGAGTTGGGGTTAAGACTAAATGCCAAGAAAAGTGTGCTTTCTCCAGTACAGAGAACCACTTATCTGTGCGTGGTGTGGGATTTGACCACGATGCAGGCACAACTGTCACCTGCTCAGATCGAGTCGATCCTCACTGCAGTCACGAGAGTAAGAGAAGGCCGGTCACTCACTGTCAAGCAGTTTCAAAAACTGCTGGGTCTGATGGCAGCTGCATCCAACATGATACCTTTTGGCCTGCTGTACATGAGACCCCTACAGTGGTGGCTCAAGACCAAGGGGTTTTCCCCCTAGGGGAAGCCCGCTCCACATGCTCAAGGTCATGCGGCAATGCCTACGTGCCTCTGTGGAGGAAGCCTTGGTTCTTGCCTCAGGGCCCGGTGCTGGGAGCTCATTGTCGCCGCATAACGCTAGAGACGGACGCGTCCCTCACCGCCCGTGGTCTGTGAAGCGGTTGCCATCTCACCTGGCACATCAACTGCCTGGAGATGCTGGCCGTGTTTCTAGCATTGAAACACTTTATCCCAGACCTAAGAGATCCTCATGTGTCCTTTTACAGGCTGGCGCACCAGATCCTTGTGTGGTCCCAGGGGAAACTCCTCTCACTGAGAGTAGTTCACATTCCTGGGCATCTCAATATGGGAGCAGACATCCTGTCAAGGCAGGGGCCGAGGCCCCTGGAATGGAGGCTTCACACCAAAGTGGTGAAGCAGATATGGAGAGTTCTTGGCCAGGGTCAGGTGGAGCTGTTTGCGACTCAGGAGATATTGCACTGTCCCCTCTGATTCTCTCTGACTCATCCAGCTCCTCTCAGACTGGACGCCATGGTACAGACTTGGCCGAGGCTTCGTCTGTATGCCTTTCCCCCGATCGCTCTGCTCCCAGGAGTTCTGGAGAGAGTGCGCCGGGACGGGGTCCGTCTACTGCTAGTGGCCCTGTTCTGGCCAGGCCGAGTATGGTTCTCGGAACTGGTGTCCCTTCTCGATGGCTCTCTATGGGATATTCCCATCAGGAGGGACCTCCTCTCTCAAGCGGGGGTCACCGTAGTTCACTGAGGGGGCACAACTCGTAGCTTCCTGAGGTTGTTGAGGTTGTTGAGGTTGTTGAGGTTGTTGAGACCATCGTCCAGTCCAGAGATCCCTCTACGAGGAAACTGTATGCCCTGAAGTGGAAACTTTTCACTTCTTGGTGCGGAGACCACCAGCTCGACCCAGTTAACTGCCCAGTTGGTACAGTGCTGGAGTTCCTGCATGCCTGATTCTCCACAGGGTTGACCCACTCCACCTTGAAGGTCATGTGGCGGCCATTGCGGTCTACCTCGCCCCTCTCTGTGGTCAGTCAGTGGCAGCCCATAGTTACACGTTTCCTCCATGCTGCACTGACGCTGAGGCCTCCGGTACAATCTTGTGTCCCCCCCATGAGACCTGGCTGTGGTGCTAGAGGCTCTCTGTAAACCTTTCGAGCCTATAGAGGAGATATCTGATAGTCATCTAACTATTATTTCTTCTGGCGATTTCTTCTCATAAGAGAGTTGGGGATCTGCAGATTCTCTCAGTGGCCCCTTCTTACTTAGACTTTGTGCCTGGTCTGGCCAAAGCATTTCTCTACCCTCAAGCGGGTTATGTACCTAAAGTTCCCTCCTCTACACCACAGCCTGTTGTACTCCAGGCCTTCTGTCCTCCTCCCTTTCGGAAGCCTGACCAGCAGAAGCTTAACTGTATGTGTCCAGTGCGAGCAGTGTGTTTCTATGCAGGACGTCTGCCATGCTGCGGGTTGGTCCATGCCCCTAATGTTCGTCAGGTTCTATGGCCTCGATATGCGAGACACTACGGGCCCTTCTGTTCTCTCGCCCTAGCTGTGCTCTTCCACACTAGGCAGGGATTTGAAAGTCTGGCAGCGTGGGCATACTCATTCCCATAGCGTTTCGACGCAGCTCGAGTTCCTGAAGGGGAATGTCTCTAGGTTATGCATGTAACCATGGTTCCTTGAGGGAACGAAATGCTGCGTCTCAGTGCCATACTTTCGGCATCCCTGCGAGTGCTTACTTCATTTTCCAGAAGCTGCTGCTGTATCCACCGCACGTGCTTTTAAGTTTCCTGGTTGCTATGTCACCCTGCCCGTGACGTCTCGCCTATCCATTGGACTGATTACACACGTGATTCAGAGCGTGGTCATGCTTAAGGCGTTCCCATAGCGTTTCGACACAGTGTCTCGTTCCCTCGGGGAACCAGGATTACATGCGTAACCTAGAGACTTTTTTGGTTTAATTTGTAGTAAAACCATGGTTAATTTTCATAAGGGTTACGCTGGTCCTGAACAGGAGCTAGTTGCTTAGGACCAGCTTAAACCAGCTCATGACCAGCTAAGGACTAGCTTAAACCATTTAAAACCAGCAGCCATGCTTCAAAACATACCTAACCAGCATATTCTGTTTTTTTCAACAGGGTAACTCTTAATGTTTGCAGGTGATATGTGTACCTGTAACAGTATTGATGTTAGAGAGACTGCCTAGAGTACAGTCATTTAAAAAAAAACAAAAAAAACAATTTAGATTTACTTTCATTATTGTGGTTCTCCAGGACACATTATAAAAGTCTTAAATGCTCATGAAAAGTAATTTGGATGATAAGTACCCTTTTCTCATTAGGGAAAAGGAAGCATTTCTGAATTACCTGAGCTGTATTTAACTAACTAATGCCTTTGACATCTCTTACAGCCTGTACACCTTTGAAGGGACTCTCGTTATGGATGGAAAGGAGTTAGAAAACAGGCAGTTTTACGTCGCTGTTGGCAGAGACAAATTCAAAAAGCTTCCATACAGTGACCTGCTGTTCAATAAACCCATCGGCATGAAGAGAGTGAACGGGTAAGAGAAAGACAGCATTTTAACCAAAGATGAAGGACGTTTTCAAACAGAATGTGACTGAATGTGATTTCAGGTCTAAAGCTGCGTCATTACCGCCGATATACATATACAGAAGACAGAATGGAGATGTGAGTATAAAAACATTATAATAGCCATTGTGTGCATTGGGTTTTCAAGTGTTTAATCATTGAATATTGGCGTTGTGAGGTGGGGAACCATCATCTGAGCAAGTCTGAGTGTGGACAGGAGAAGAGCAGTCCCGCAGCGCAGCGCTCTAAAGAGCAGCTGTCCTCTATAGTCCGAGAGATCTCACAGGCCAAACTCATGAACATACGCAAGAAGTGGAGCGGACTCACGGCTTCACAGGAGACTCAGGACAACGGTAAGACATCAGCACATCATCTGAAACCAAGACATTCATATGGAACATCTGTCTGTCAAAAACAGGAGCACATCTATGTAGAACTAGAGTACATACAATACTGTTCAAAAGTTTGATGTCAATCGGATTTTATTTACATTTCTGAAAGATGTATTTTCTGCTCACCAAGGCTGCATTTATTTGATCAAACACAGTAAAAACTGTGAAATATTATTCGTATTTAAAATAGCTGTTTTCTATGTGAATCTCTGTTAAACTGTAATGTATTTCTGTGATGCGCAGCTGTATTTTCAGCATCATTCCTCCAGTCTTCAGTGTCACATGATCTTCAGAAATCAGTATAATATGCTGCTTTGCTGCTCAAGAAACATTTCTAATTGCTATCAATGTTCAAAACTGTCATGCTGCACAATATTTTTGTGGAAACCATCATGCATTTTATTTTTCAGGATTCACGGATGAATAGAAAGTTTAAAAGAGCAGCATTTATTTGAAACATAAATCTTTCATAACATTATAAATGTCTCTTTTGATCCATTTGATGCATAATTGAGGAATAAAAGTATTAATTTCTTTGATGCTAACATAAAAATGGTAACATTTTACAATAAGGTCTATTTTGTAAACATTAACATTAAAAATTTGCCATATTTTTTTTACAGCATTTATTAACCTTCGTTCAATTATGTTAGTTTACAGTGTGTTAACAAATGCATGTTTTAATTATAATATGTGTTAGTCAATGTTGAGAGTAACACTAATTAAGATTAATAAATGCTGTAGAAGTATTGTGTTTTATTGTTAGTTAATTTTAACTAATGCCAACAACCAAAGAAATATTTCTGACCTCAAACTTTTAAACATAAGACTGTTAGAAAGAATGTGCAAAAACTGTACCTTTAGATTGTCACCAATGTGATGAAATGAAGTGAAATAAATAGGTTCAATAATACAACACTGTAAGAGATCATAAGGCTGTATCATCTGTGAGCGTTTTTTGTTGTTTTTGCCAACTTTGGTGATGCGTTTGTGTCTGTATCCGCACATCAGATTCTCAGCAGCCACTATTGTCTGATAACGGTGATGTAATTCTCTGAACCTTATGTAAGGCACTTCCCTGTGTGACCATGAGATGGCACTGCTGCTCTGTGCGTGTGCTGCTCGCACGCTTGCTGTGGCATGAGAGGGATTACATCATGCTCCTCACCATCATCATCATCATCATGTTTCCTCAGATTGCAGCCGGAGGTGTGCGATCAGCGCCACGCTCCACTGCACGCGTCTCATTCCACAACATCTCACCAAGTGGTGACATTTCAGTGCAAAGAGAGCCTCGCAGAGATCACCCGCAAACGCTATTAGTCACGCTCCAGATTCTGAAAGAAATTTGATTCATACTTAAATTGATGTGGTGAAAAATAAAGATCAGGAATAAGAGGTTTGGCAGTGAGGGGTGTCGCGTAATGAGCAGCGTTTGATCTGAAGCAGGAGCGTCCGTGAGAGCCGTTTGTGTGTGTGTGTGTGTGTGTGTGTGTGTGTGTGCGCGGTGAGTGCAGAAGCGTCTCTCCCTCATTAGCACTCGAGGTCCTGCTGGTACCCAGGTGGCCCAATACGAACCTATTAAATCTCCATGGTGATGAAGTCAACAAAAGCACATCTCTTCTCTTCTACATGCTTCCATTTCTTGAGCCGAGCAGAACGCGTTTCTATGTCAAATCATTCTTACGTAATCTGTTGTAATATCATATCTTATACGCAGTGTTGGGGAAAGTTACTTTTAAAAGTAATGCATTACAATATTGGGTTATTCCATGAAAAAGTAACCAGTTGAGCTACTTAGTTACTTTTTATAGAAAGTAATGCATAGCGTTACTTTTGTGTTACTTTTTGTCACATGTGCTGGGCTTGCTTATTTGTTTCTTTAATAACAAAAATCCCAAAAGTTATATTTTTGGCAAGTGTAAAGGCCCTTTCACACCAAAAGTGAAATGAATAAGCCTCAGACTGAAGGACGTGTCTCTGCACTCACTCCCGATTTCTCTCAGCATGTGGACAGGAGAGCTCTCAGTCAATAAATGGGAAAACAAAGTGGCTTGCATTACTTATTTGAAAAAGTAACTCAGATACTTCATTGTAAATTTAAAAGCGTTACTTTACTAGTTACTTGAAAAAGTAATCTATGTAACTCCCAACACTACATATATAAGCCACTTCTAAAACATGAAACCTTTTAGAGAATGCATGTGCAATTAAAAGAACGAGTCACATAGTAAATGGTGAAGTCTATGGTAAAATATTCTAGTCCTATTCTACCTTCATATTTAGAGCCATCTATAAGTAAGCCATTAAGGCGATCTGAACAGGACTAGCTGACCGACTGAGCGGTTGAAAACAAGTGGAGTGTTCGGGAAAACCTGTTTTTAGAAATTAAATACTCAAAAAAATGACTTTAATTCTGTCATACAAATAGGTCAATTCATTAGTCCCATCTTGATTTGAACACAAATGAGTAAATAATTTAAGCACTTGTTTCATTTCTGAATGAATCAGAATTTTTGAATGAATCAGTTGAGTGAATCATTCAATGACTCACGCAAAAAGACAGGCACCTGTTTCGTTCCTGTGTGAATGTGTCGGAAATCGCATACTCTCTGAGGTTCTTTTATATATGTAATTACTTCACGACCTTTAGAAAGCATGTTGTGTATGGTATGAATTTTCTAGTATTTGCATGTGACTTGGATTTACTACATTTTGTTGTCATAGTCATGTGACCTACTGACCTACTGCATCACTTCACTGCCATTCACAACTCCTCTCACGTGGCCTCATGCTATAGTACAGTGTCCACTGAATGCACACGTCAGAATCACACTAGAAGTAGTAGTTTTCACTGAGCAGGACATGTTTATGTGTAAAAGCATAAGTTTTTTAGCATAAGAATGATTTTGTTCTTTTTATTTCATGAATGAAGATTGTAATGGCTCTGATTTCCAGGAACATATTCACCAAGGTCACTTTAGGTGGTGATTTGAGTATGACAGAATCAAACCAATTACCGAATGGTAACAGTGAGTCAGTTTAACCATATCAAATTGTAAATTAATGAAGTTTCCAATGTCGCAAGATACATGTCTGCGTTTGATTCCTTCATGCAGCATATAGGGTTACAGGACCATGGCGTTTAGTTGCCTGTTTAGTGCTCTGTGATGTGATCTTCAGCATGACTAGTCCTGTATTATAGCACTGGTTGTGTTCAGGTGTGTAGAGCAGCGTTCTTGAGTTTCAGGATTCAGGATTTGTAGTAGTCTGTTATTTGACATTAGACGGTGAACATACAGATCTATGCTGAAATACTGGGTCTAGATTAAAGTAAGTGTTGAAAAGACCAGCACAGATACATCACAAACTGCCTTTGTTACCATGGGCAGAATCATTTCAAATGAAAACAAAATTTAAATGGACCCTATTTAAAGGTGTATTCAGTCATTTTGTGTATGTTGCAATTGTCAATATGGCAGTCTTGTGGTTATATACTAAGCAATGCCAGAGTCATGCGTTCAATTCGCAGATTCGTAAACATTTGATGCAACGCAAGTCACTTTGAATACATGTTTCTACCAAATGTGAAGGTTTTTAGCAACGATGATCAAATTAAGTTAGATGTAAAACTTTTAAATGAGGAAAAATTACAGAGTGAACCTTATTTAGTTGAAAATAATAATTATGAATAAAATGATTTTTACACATGTCAATGAATCATAAAGGCTGTTTTGAGGAAAGCTCAGTCTTAAAGTGCCGGTCTCGACGCAGGCAAAACATGTAGTCGCTCTTGCGCTGATGAATATCCCTCTTTGATAAATAAACCGTCCATTAGAAGGCAGGAAACGGCGTGCTGGAATATAACGCTATGTGCATACATTTGAATATCAATGATTTGCCGAGGATCTGACACCATTAACGAGGGAGTCTAACAGATGGCACAAGTGTTAAGTGAATGTAGGGCAAATTCTCCAATCACATGGCATAATGAAGTCAGAGAGGCTGGTGGAGGAGACGGAGGACGTGTGGATGTGTTTGAGAGAGGGAAGGAGGAATCTGGGGGAATTGCTGCGGATCCATCCCACTCCAGTAATGACAGGGAGGATCAGAGGAGTGTGGAGACGGACGAGAGCCGCTGATGACTTTCACACTTCAGTATCTCAGGGCTCCTGCTGACAATCCATCCACAACACTGTAATAATGCTGAAATAGGGCATTAAGGTGCCTCTCCCTGTGCCTCACTTCACTGATCAGACCGTACGTGTGTGTATATATATATATATATATATATATATATATATATATGCATATGCAGCCACAGTCTGGAATGAATCAGTTGAATGAATAATTCAATTACTCACTCATAAAGACAGTCAAGTCAACAGCCACCTACTGGCGAAATACTGTAACTGCAGAAAGAGTCACAGTTGGTGTTTTTTCAATGTATGCTTCAGACACGGGTCACGACGAGGCGTTCCCCATAGCGACCCCTAGAGGACGCAGTTCGAAGTTCCCATGAAAGGGAACCACATCACTAACACACCGTCTGTCTGGTGCAAACACTGGTGAATTATCAGTGCTCTTGAAACGCTGCTCGACCAATCAGATTCCAGAACAAGAGCTAACAATGTCTGTAGGGGCACTCCAGGCTTGCTTGTCAGTGTATCCACCTTTAACCACAAGGTGACAGATTCCTATCTGACTGACACACACACACACACACACACACACACACACACATCTGGCCCTCATGCCAGACGGGACCCAGCGGAGAAAGATGAGAATCACAACATACCTGTTTTTAAGTAGTGTATGAAATATTCATGTGTAAAATTAAGCCCAGGGCTGAGTTAGCATTTGCTTTAGGATTGACCCATGGATATATGAGACTTCGGAGGAACTTTTTTTCAGAACTGTCTGTTGAAATTCTTCTGAAAGAGGCTGGTGAACGTGATTGG